CTCGCAGCCTGCACGGGGGCTAATATGGCCCACAACCGCAGTATCACTAACACACGCAAGAAGCAAACAATAAAAAAAACGAGAAAAAAAGAAACTCAAGGGCACGGGGCATTGTATACACATACACAACAGTGACCTGCTGCCCTTTCCGGCACGCACAGGAAACAACAAACAGAAGAAAGAAGCGGGACGGGAAAAAGGAAAAGCGGTGCGGAAGTAAATGAGACATCACAAGGAACACACCGATCAAATGAAAAATATATATGTATAAATATAACAAAAGTGTGTGGAAACAGCCCATGGCATGATAACACAAAGCCCGGGATCCGCCCACGGAGTGGCAGTCGTTAGGGGCCCGCAACCGCCGCCCCCTCCGCGCGGGGAGTAGCGGGGGCAGAAGGAACTGCACACGTTGCCCTTCAGCGCGGTCTCCCTCAGAAGGGAGATCAAGTCATAGACCAAGAGTGCAGATCAACAACGAAGCGCTATTCCCTGCTGAGCCCCATCCAGCGGCGAACTTTTCCCACTATCTGGGAAGGAGCTGGGTGGTTTCATGGTCAACAGCATAAAGTTATCAAGGAAGAAATAATAGAAAAGGGCCAAGGAAGAAAAAAGAATGTTTCGCGTGGTCCATAGTCAGGGTATTTTAAAAGAAATATACTTTTTATTCCTTGCGCGGGCAGCATCTATGGATAACAAACAAAATGAAGGGGGAAGTAGTCAGCGTAAATGGGGCTAATGTTGGCTGTCCGTTGTCTTTAGTGCATTACCGTTACACTCTCTTTTTTTTTATTTACGCCCCTACGGCCTGCCAGGAACTTCTCCTTACACGCCATAGTCTCCTCTGAGGTGGTGGAGGACGAGGTCAGGAAGAGAGGGAACATACAAAATAAAAAAAAAAAAACTTACGTTGATGGAGATGAATCGGCTCGTCACACCTCCACTGCAAAGGAACAGTGACGCGCACAATTGCCCAAATACGTCGTTTTCTTTTTTTTTGTTTATTTGCTCTCTTTTCTTTTTGGTTCCTTGAGTACGTTGTGGGAGAAAGTAAGTTGACAATCGCTTCAAATGGGAAAGGCAACGTCATGGAGAAGTTCTCTCGACCTCTTTCTATGCGAAAAGTGAGCGCAGCTCCGTCTATTGTCCTGCGTTGGATCCGCGGGGGAGTTCCTTCGGCATAATGGGGGGTCTCCCACCGCTTGCCGATACCTGCGGCGCGCCACCGAGGCAAACTCGGCCGAGCGTCCCGTGCGGGTGTGCGTGCGCCAGGCCCCCGCTTCACCGCGAACGCCGGAGAACAGCCGAGACGCCCAAGAGACTTGCCGTTGTTCTTGACTCGACAGCAGCAACGGGAGTGCCTTCGCAACGGCACCGTCCATAAGCGTGGAAGTAAATGTGCGAGTGCAGAGGCCCCCGACGGTAAGGCCGCAGGGGCCCAAATAAAAAAAAAAGAGTGTGGTTGCAGCCAAAAATGAAGGTGCAAACAAAAAACGACGGCAACAGCAACAAAAGAAAGGCAAAGAACACAATAAAACAAGCAAATGTGCCACTGCCGGCTTTCTTCCCCGCACAGACACGACACGGTAATGCGGCGGATAACGCGGTGGAAAAAAGAACTTCCGGGAACCACACTTAAAGACAGGGCGGTGTTCTCTTGGTAGAATGGGTGAGGGGGCCTTTTCCTTCATCGAGAACCCACTGGGGTACAGCAGGCGCCGGGGCGAGCGTCAGGGTTGTCCGCGACGGCGGAAGGCACATAACTGCTTATATCCTTCCCTCTTGTACACCGCGAAAGAGAGGGTTACCACGTCGCCCGGCCGCGTTATCTCAACTTGGTGTACGTGCTTCGGAGGTAGAGGGCCGCATTGCATAAAAAGTAATGCATGCCTGCGGGTATGTATGTATGTATGTATGTATGTATGTATGTATGTATGTGCCACGTTTCACAACGGACTGAATGTTGGATAATTTTGTTAGCTGGCATGATCCTCAGGCAAATGTGGAGTAGATTGTTGCGCCTGTGCCAAAGACAACAGAAATCACGCCTGCAATGAGGGAGATGTACGTCATGGTGTAGTGGAACCAGCCGACATTCCTCAAAGTCCATCCACCAGAGTACATGTAAAACAACGCCGGATAAATAAAGCCTATGAATCCACCACACAGCGCCCCTGCTAGATCAAATGCGGTGCTGATTCGTGGGATAAATAAACCACAAAGAAGCACAAAAGCGGAGATAAGAGTTACGGTTGCGATGTGCTTCCAGTACGGTAGAGCATTAATGTCCCAGCCCAAGATATAGTACACCGTGTTTCGGCAGGGAATCATATTTAGCGCGTACGACACACACAGCTTAACGATAAGTCCCACGTACGCCACCATCATCAAAGGCTCAGCGACGGGGTCAAACATGTAGAGGACGGACTCCGCAACGCCTTTCCCAAACTCCATGTACCCAAAAAAACCCGTTGTCCAATATACAACGGAGCAGGCTGTCATACTAAGCGCCGCGCTGAGTAGCAGTTGCCTCGTACTCCGCACCTTCATCTCGAAATACGCCGGAAATGCGACAGCGTGGCACAAGTACGCAAAGACAAAGGCGCCAATCCCCTCCATAGCAACGTTTCCGCTTGAAACAAGCCGCATCTCCGATCGCTTTGGGAGTCCATTGTTGCAGGCATGGACCACAATAAGAACGGCAAAGTAAACCACAAACGCAACTCCAATCGCAGAAAAGTAACGCAATGTATTCACCTCCTTCGGGATTACCAGCGGAAGCATTCCCAAAAGCCACACTGCACACGTCATCACACGTATGCCAGAATCACTCCTCAAAAATTCCGGGATTCCTGAAAAATGTCGCAATATTGGAGTCATTAGAGTCCCCGCCGCGATGACGTATGCGACGGCCGCACCAAAGCAACTCAGACCCATGACAACAGCCATAAAATAATCGGCGCCTTTCCCCAAAATACCTCTTGACATTTGTTCAAAGGCACGATAACCCGTTTTCTCCATCACATAGCCCAAAATGGTCACCGTGTACACCGTGAATATCGTCATGAGCACAATGTAAATCGTCCCCATCAAGACTCCAGAAGCATGAAAGGCCCATGGCAACGTGATGACGCCAGCACCCAGAGACGCCGAAGCGAGACTAAAGCTGTTGGAGAGAATCCCGCCATGCGGTATCACTTTGCCAAGAAGCGAGGCAAAGCATCCAGTGACGCGTTTCCCATACCCCTGATGGGACGCCAAAGTGCCGGTAACTGTGGAACTCCCCTCCTTTTGCGTGCCGAGAGAAGGAACACGCGCTGAGTCAGAACTCGCGCCGCCCCCCTCTTGTGAGAGTTCGGGTAAACTCCCCATGGCGTCGGGTTGCGCTTCATTAAGCAAAAACACAGGAATTGAAAAAAAACACGAGAAAAAGGTGCATATTCGGGTTATACCCCAGCCCTTGGCCAGACAGCAGGTCAACGAAAATAAAGCAAAGATAAAAAGAGCTAAAATAAGAGAAACTTTCCTTCGTTTGCTCTTGTCTTCCTCTGACAAGTAGGCATCGCTCAGCACGATGCAACACCTCTGCGTGACAGACATTTCCACTTCTATATTTACATAAGAATAGGGGAACAAGAAAGATGATATATATATATATATAAACAAAAAAAAGGAGAGACATACAAAGCCAGCAAAGCGCTCAACCGTCATCTACTCCAGCACGCCTCGGCGAGAGTCCATTGGCTCGTATGGATAGCGGCACAACCGCGCGATGTACTCCTCATTTTGTTCCCTATCAGCTTCCCACTTTTCAACGCAGTACACCGACTTTGTTCCTTGTAACCGCTTCAGCATCTTTAAGTTTTCGGCCTCAATACGCTGCTGCTCCCTCACCCGGCGGCGTTCCGCGTCACGCTCGACGTTGCTGCTGCGCCACGGCTCCTTGTTATCAATCCCACCACCTCTCTTCATGATGGTGGTCATGTTGGCGACAAGGCGTCGGTTCCCCTCCTCAATACGTTTACAGCGCTCCTGCTCCATCAGCGCCCTCTTATTGCTCAGGCTCAGCGCATGGGGTGGTTTGTTGTCAATGCAAGACTTCTGCTGCTCCACCCGCTGGCGATGCTGCTTGTACTCCCGCTGGCGCTGCTGCTCAAGCCACAGCGCGGTGGCCGTCGGCTTCGGCTGCACGGGCATCACCTGACGTCCGACGCTTTGCGCTTCTCGTTGTTTCTCCCCTGCGGCAGTTGCCTGCACCCCGCTTCCCTGGCCGCTTCTATTCACTGCACAAACACCGCTTCGCGCCCCCTTTCCAACACACTGATGAAAAAAAAAAAAAGAGAAATCGAAGATTTGATGTTTATGTGGTGCTGGCGGGCTCCCCCTGTCACGTGAAGGCCGAGACGCCAGAGAGAAGTGGCGGGGTCAACCCCGTGCAGCACTTGGAAGCAACACGAAAAAAGCTAACGGCGAACGCAACTATACTTCCCCCACCACATCAACAATGACTCTTCCTCGCTCTCCCACCTCATTGCACGGGCGCTTGTAATGGGCAACGACCATTCAGCCCTCCGCCCCCCTCTCCCTCAGTCGTCAGATAAAAACTGCACCACAAAAAAAAAAAGAGAGAACATTTCAGAAGGCGGTAAAGCGCAAAAACACGTGGCGGCGACGGTTGTGGCAGCAATACACGCCGTTAGGCCGGGGAAGCAGGCTCACCTGCACCGCTGACTTACGCGTGTTGGGAACGGCAACAGCAGCCACCACCGCCAAACAAAAACAAAACAAAAATACGAACTGCAAGCAGGTATATATCACAATCCATGCATGTGCCTAAATTGCAGCTTGCATGCCGACGCATACGACGCAGCAATAATGTGAGTGGTACGGGAGCTGTGGCACAGCAAGGGGGAGGAGAGGGGTGGGCGAGGTGGATGAAACTTCAACGGAACCATCACAGCTACGTCGCATTCACATGGCACCCACACACTCACGCATAACAAATAAGAGAGAGAGAGATACTAGAATTGAAAAAAATGGAGGATAAAAAAAGCACACACACATTCAGATAAGTTGTTATTTCGCTCTCCATCACGTGCGGATGGTTTGTTCGCGCGGGTGGTGTATACATCACGTACTATGGAAGGCGGGCCCGATAGGATTCAATGAGGTCCTGACGACAACTTGGCGCAAGCAGCGTGTACCCCTGCAGTAAGACCGCCAAAGGCACAAGGACAAATCCTGTCGGATCACGTCTGTTTTTATCCACAGGCTCCAGTGACCTGTCCTTCACGACATAGAAATCCGGCTGACACACCATCTGAATGAAGAGTTGAACCTGCTGCAGTTGGGTGTCAGAGGTTGTCATTGTGTTCTTTGCCTCGGCGAGCTCCCTATTGACGCCTTGGAGTTGCGCCTGCGTGCGCATGAGGTCCAGCTCTAGTTGCTGCCTGAGTTTCGAAAAATTGACCTCATCCTTCTCTTTTTCTCCCTGAAGTCTTTTATAGTCATTTTCCAACCCCGTCTTTGCCCTCCACGCCTCCTCAAGTTGCTGTCGAAGACCATCGTTTTCTATCTGAAGGGAATTTAGTTTTTCTTGCGCCTTTCCTTCACCGACCCTCGACGCGCGTTCGTCGCTGAGGCTGCGAACAGCCGCGTCGCGCTCCTCTCCAGCTACTTGAAGAAGGCGACAAACCTCGGCGTTGGTTCCGCGCATGAAGTCCCCCTGAAGCTTCATTAACTGCAGGATACCATGGACGGTAGACGTTCGCCGCTCCACTTCCTCCGCCAATTGAAGTTGTGCTACCGCCGCCCTCCGTCGAAGTTTTTGCTCCTCATTGTTCTTCACCCGTAACTTGTCCAGTGCCCGCTGCAGCTCTGCACTAAGCTGCCTAATTTTGTTCTGCTCAGCCTCAACCCCCTCGTCCCGGGATCTTCGCTGCTCGCCAGAATGCGCCAGACGCACCTCACCTGTGCGGTTGCCCTCCACAACGGCGTTAAAGGGGACCAGGTGGGGTGCATTGTGGTGCGAGCCAAAAGTTATCACAGAGTGTTGCAGCGGCACTAGCGACGGTGCTCGTTTTTCCTTGCACGCCGCGGCGGCATCCCGCCTCGCATAGGTGAGCGGAGGCATGCAAGGAAACTTCACACGTCCCATTGTCTACACCTGCAGAGCCACCCCTCTGCCAAATCCCAGTTTGGGCCTGTAGAGAGGGAAAATGTGTGTATATGTGCGTGGGAGAGAGAGAGACGAAAAAAAAAAGAAATGAAGAGAGAAACAGGAAGGGCGCGAAAGCAATGTGAAAAAAGACGATGACGCACTTCACCTCACCCCGCGCGACACACACGACGTACAATAGCGCGCGACCCACAAGCCCTTATCAGGAGGTGCGTTATGCAGCTCAGTTAAACGAGTAGAAGAAAGGCGGAGCCTCCACGCATGCCACGGAGGTGAAAACCCAGAGCCCAATGAAGCGGGCATTCGCCATCGGAGCCCCCTCACGACGATGCCTTGACGGCGTTCAGCAGATCCGACAACTCCTTTAGCTCCGAGCGCGAGAAACAGCCGGCAGCGCCAGGCCCGTACCTCAGCACCAAGGGTGACACTTTTTGTAGAAGGTGTCGCAAGTCGCGTGACACCTCGCCCCTGCAAACCTTCCCTGCCACCGCGCCTTCCCCTGCTTCCTCCCCTTCCCCCGCCTCCGCTTCTTCCTCTTCTTCCTCCTCCTCCTCCTCGGCTTCTTCCGCCATCGCGTCGCCTTCCTCGTCCTCGTCGTTGCTCAGAGAGGCCTGCGTGGCGAGATTCAGCACGCCTTTCCCAACGGCAACGAAAACCGCCACCTGCAGTGGCAAGTTGGCCTTCCTTCGCTTCCCCTCAACCCATGTCATTTGTTGGTCACAGAGTCTCTCATCCAGGGGCCACTGCAGCAAGAGATCTAGCAACGCATCGCAAGAGGCAAAAAGAACTTCTTTCCCAATAAAGAGACTCATCTTTGGCAGCCATACGGAAAAGGTGTCAAGAAGAAGACCGGATGACCACAAAACATTCATGAACGCATGCAAATGAAGTTTCATTAATACAGCTAGAGGAGCCACAAGTTCCTGAGTCACCGTATCGGTGCAAACTGTCATCAGACGACGCAGAATGATTGTAATCATCCGCTCAATCTCATCCTCTTGAAATGCACTCGTATTCTGAGCAATGACAACCAAAACCTTCCCAGAATTCATCAATGAAGCTTCTCTTACCTCTTCCCTCAGCATGGCCATAACAACCGTGACAAGTACGGAAGAAAATGGATACGGTTGGAGCTCCCCCCCTTGCAAGGCAGCCATTCCAGCACAACCACCAGCAGCTGACTGTCCCACGTCCAAATCCGGGAATGACCTCTTCATCAAAGAGTTGGGCACAAGAACCGTCATTGCTCCCACGTGTGGACATCGCCGCAATAGAGCAGCAAGGCAACCCGAGGCAGAGGATATGATGGAAGACTCCTCCGTTGCAAGTAACAGTCCACAAAGGGAACCAAGCAAGGCGTCAGCCGCCTTCACCGCAACCTCATCCGATCCCTGCGCGAAAATGCACGTCAGTATTTGGACAACGAAAGGTATAACACAATACTCTGCCACACCACACGGACTGCTCAGGACGTCCGCTAACCAGGAGAAGTGACCTGTAAGAAACTCATCCCCGCCGGAATCTGTAATCAATTCGGCAAAAAGCGATACAACCAACTCTCCCATATTTGGATCTTGAATATGATTTCTCCAGCAACGAAACAGGTTGTTGTAAGATTCTGGAGAGGCAACACCTCTTCGCTTACGTTGACATTGAGAAACCCATTCCGTGTAGATCTCAAGGCATATGTATAACAATTCGCCCGAAGTGGTTTCATTTACCAGCAGCGAAAAGAGTGCGTCCTGTCCAGTGGAAAAAAGGTTTACAACATCGTCCTTTGCAGCCAACGGAAGAATGTAATGAAAAAATCTGCATGATGCGGCACAGAGTAAGGGGGCAGGGCTTGATAAGGAAATTACTGCCTTGGGAAGAAGCGAGGCACAAAGGGGCTCCACATCTGCCCCGCCTCGTTTCATCAAAGTCAATAATATACTCAGCAATGACAAAGCTCGAGTTGATAGTAGCGCCGGACCGTGTACATCGTCTTTAATTAGTATTTGCAGAAGTTGAGAGAGACAATCCACACCTGCAGCAAGGATCGCGTTGGGGCATCGTCGCAAGAGAACCTCCAGTACAAATAATATGCTTTCCCTCCGCTTCCATGACCCTTCGGTAGAACTCAGAGAGGCAAGAAGAAACCCCAGAACATGTCCCCCCTCTCCAAGAACCGACACACATATCCTACAAAAATCTGCTGCCGTATCACGAACATTCCATACCACTTCCTCCTCATGCTCTTCCTCCTGACGAAGAAAGGCATTTGCCTCACTAAGCAATTCCCCAGCCTCTATATCACTTAAGGTTGTGTGCGACAAAACGAGACCCAGGAGCGATGATAGACTGTTGGCCATGACGTTGGCTACAACACTGCTCAGACTCTTCACCTGCGCCATAAATCCCAACAACTCCCAACGTTTCGCCACAATTTGTTGGATAACAAGACGTGCATCGTCGCCACTATCCATGCTTTCCAAGCCTTCCAAGTAGACACCGTTATCCGCTTCAATCCGTGTCAGTAAACCGCAAAAAAAATTGGCTGTAATTCCTTGCCTTGTCCATTTGGCAAGACGCAACATGCCATCGACGAGTGTCATAATCTCCAATGTCTGTCGGTTTCGAATAGCATATTCTTCCTCAAATAATGGAAGGATCGGTGTCAGTAAAGCAGCTGCCAAGGCCGGGAAAAAACTATCCCATGTTTCCTTTATGAATCCAAGCAGTTGAAATTTTCGTATTGATACTACAGGAAGAATAAGTTCTCTCAATACATTGACGGCCATACAAGTGGTCTCGTTCGGAGTATCAGAAATGGCACGTCGAAAAAAACATGGTACAAGTTGCAAAAGCTCGTTACGAGTGAAAGAGTCAGGATAAAGATGGTGTAGCAGCTCGGAAACCAGTAGCATAGCGTTTAATTCCAGTCGAGCTGAATCGACCGTACCAAATGAATCGTGCAGAGACTTCATGAAGAAATGCATAGATTCTGAAACCAGCACCTGCTCTGTTTTGCCCATGGATTCCATTCTTAATATAATTAGACTTATAACAGCCGCAGAAAGATTTGCTACAGGGCGATCCTCTTCCACAGAGAGCAGATTCAAAAGGATGTTATTCACATCAACACATTCTTCTATTGCAACAACACGGAACTTTTGCTTTAAAATACTCAGAGCCAAGAGACGATGACTTCGGGGAATACTCCCCAAATTCAAACAGGCATAGTGAGCCAGGTGTGGCAAAAATCCCCCGCAGGAGGAAAGGCGATCAATTTCCTCTTCCGCTTGAAGTCTTATAGAGTTTTCTGAACTAAGAGCATGTTGCAAAAGCTTCGTTAACTCTTCCACCTCGGCCATGGAAAGAGAAATAGTGACCGTAAACTACAGTCCAGGCACCACTGCCTACTCTTGACAACGAAACCCAAGAAGCAAATATATATATCAGTAAATAAAGTAAAAATGAGGGTACAATCAAACTACGAAGCAGAACAACAACAGCAGCACAATGATACTCAAAAAACAGAGAAAACCACACACTAACATCATCACACACACAGAAAAAAAAGCATTTTCAAACTAAAAACACGCCGACATTCCATACATGTTTGTCATCTTCCTCTTCTTCGTTTTCAACCTTAAATGCGTAACCATTTTTTCTCTCCTTCTCTCCTTCTCCCCATATCATGATGTGTGTGTGTGTTTTTTTTTGTCACTTTTGCCAAGCATTCACAATGGCAGAACTTTAAAACCTTTTCTACCCCTCGGTTAGAAGTGAAGCAAACACATCGCGAAGACATTCCGTCAAAAAAGGAAAGGACCAATGAAACGCGTTAATGTGGTTTGGAAGAACATAGGGATGTGGTGAGGAAAAAAACTGCGTCACGTTCACCTTTTCTCCCTCAATACGAAGGACAGCCCCTTTGTTATCAAACGTACCGCAATAGTTGGGAGCTGAGAATACTGACATCATGCATGGGAAGTTCGAAGTACTATTGAATCGATAAAGCTTGTAACCTTCATCTTGCAGTTCATGACCTCGAATAACACAAAGAAGTGTATTCTTCATAAGAAAATGTTTTAGGCTCGAGAAATTGAACAAATAACTACATCCTCTTTGTTCATTAACTAGGAAACGAGGTGTGGACCCATAAGATGGACCTGTGCCAGGGGTATAGTAATCACCCTTTGATCCTCCGCTAACTGATGATGGATTTTCAACATCCCAAAGGGGATCTGACCATAGCAAATCACACATAGCACCTTTTGAAGGAGGTTCTCTAAAGCGGTGAATACGTTCAACGTGTCTTACTCGCAGCACATCCGGTGAAAGGCCACCATGAACGCAAAAAAAGCGCTTATTCACTAAGGCTGCTAACGGTAAACAGTCAAAAGCCTCTATGATCGACCGATAAACTTGCTCGTTATATTTCCTTATGCACTCCTCTTGAAAGCCAAAAAAATCCGTCATCAAACGAGATTCGTGATTCCCACGAAGCAAAAAGACAGAGTTAGGAAAATTGAGCTTTGCTGCAAGTAAAACCAATATACACTCACAACTAAAAAAACTACGATCGGTGTAGTTCCCAAGGAAGATATATTTCTTCTTCTCATCAAACATACCTCCCATTCGAAGGATCTTTGCCATATCATAGAATTGACCACGAATATCGCCCACCACAGTAATTGAATCATCATCGATAGTTAATACGTTTGGCTCAGCACGCAAAGTCCCAGATGCATTTTGAATTATACTCAAAGCATCATGTTTTCCAAGACGTCCTTGGCGAAGAAAGTGGGCAATCATGGCATTTAGATTAATTTTGCCCCTCCTATCAATCAACACCGCACGCTTTATTTCATCCCAGTAGGGTGGAGGAACAGATGTCTTTCCCCGGTCCTTTTTGAGACAATCTGAGGTAGACAGCATACTTAGTGTCACAACTAACTAAAAATAGGATATATATATAGCTATACTTATAACAGAAGGCAAAAGCAACAACAACAGCTAAAACTAACAAAATCAAATCAAGCCAGAGAAGATCAAAAGGAACAATAACATTAGAAAAAAGCTCAAAAACAATAAAGAGAGAGGAGGAAACATATATACGTGGGAGGGGAGGGGGCGACACAGCCAAGGCATCCATTGGAGTACACCATAGATAGGAAATGATAAGACGACGCAGCAAGGTATCCTCAATTTTATACACTGTATCCAATAGCATACAGATTCCTTAGCTAGACAAAGATGGAGGTCCTTTTCATCACATCCTTAATAACTTCATCATCGACGTCTAAAGCATCAGAAAACTCTCTGAACGTGAAGGATATGCGGCGTTTTTTAATATTCTCTAAGCGAATACCATGCAGCCAATCATAGCGACTAACATTTGATAGCAGAAAGAATGCGCCACGAGGTAGAAACACGTCAACAGCTGCTCCTTCACTATTCACAAACGTCATGACGGTATCTTCTAACAGATTTAGTCCACCAATACGATTACCCCAAAGCCAAGTATCATCAATATGAGGGTCAATACTACTGCTGTTGGCATTGGTATACTCTAACGCGGAGACCTCAACTATATGGTACTCCTTCATAGTTAGCTGTCTTACAACCAACTGGATCCTTTTCATGATACTCTCCAACTCTTTAGGCATACCAATTACACCAGAAGTATTAAGTTTTCTTTTTTTAAAGTTGGCTCTCGGACCAAAATCTTGCTTCCTTCTTCCACTCTGAGAATGCTTCCAACCAGAAAACGACGACGACTCATCAAGGAACCTAACCAAATTTCCTTCATCCATAATCGATAAAAACTCTGGTATGACAAAAATCCCTTCAAGTCGAAGATCGAGGTTTGGCGTAGCGCCTTCATGATCCGCACAACCTTTAAAGACTCCACTATGCATCGGGAAAACTGTATTGCATTGGCAACAAAGCCCATACTGGCTTGATCCCACACATGTAAAAGAGCAGGAAGAAGTTCGCCCCGCACCATATTGTTGGGATACTACGTCAGAAGTCTGAAGAAGAGAGACTTTCTGCCCAATGATAGCCTGCACACGCTCAGAGCCTATACAGCGTCCACAGTATCGTATACCTGAGCAGCAACATCCCTCCTTTTGCTCCATTTGCGACGTACAGGGAATCCCTAGGCTCTCTATAAGCACTTCTACTAGGAAAAATAGTGGGGGAAGAGTAAGGGGGGAAGAAAAAAAAAGAAGTAGTCAAAACGGATTTCAAAAAAAACAAAAGTAAATAACAACATTAATCAGGCATGAAACTCAACAAAGAGAAAAATGGTAAACCAACACACACAGCCCTCTTGCAAAAACCTTCGAGACACAAAGGACATCCCCCTTTTTCTTGAAACCATTTTTCTATTATTTAGAAGAAATCAATTTGTCAACTTCTTCGATGGTGTCTTTGTATGACTTTACAGAGTGTCCAATGGTCCGCTGGTCCATGTAAATTTCATAATCATTACCACCCTCATCAGTCTTGTCACCAAAGAAGTGAATTTCATCAAAGTCCTTCTCCAGAAAGCGCAGACAATACCTTTTATCCCATCCATTTGGAAAAACATCAAAACTGATTTGACCCCCAATAGAATACTTTAGCCCGTACTCCGGAAAGGCCTTTTGAAGTTCTTGGATAAGCTTCTCACGTACGTGATGTTCCTTGTCATACCGTTCAAAATCATCCCTTTCTGTCTGAGAGCAGTTGCGGCCTATCGGGGAGACGTTAATCATTCCATTCCTATATTCAATAAATGTACCTCGCTGAACGGGAATATCGAGATCCGAAAGAAGGCGCATGGTTTTTCGAACAAATTTCACAATGCGTTCATTTCCAAGTTCATGGAGGAGGCTTTGTCGATGAATTTCCTTCCCATTTTTATAGGCCAACAAGCCATTTTCGGCAAACACGTAATCAAACTGTTGTAGAACATCATCCCCAAGTTGCTCACGCTGCTTGGCAAAATCGGATCCACCAACGATTCCCATTGTGAATCCTGCATTCCTTGCACGCCGAATAGCCTCCCGGACCTCATCTGGTTGAGAACGCCTTGGCGGAGTCAGCGTTCCATCAATATCAAACAGTAAAAGAACCTTCTTCATATGCTTTTCGACCACCATTATAAGGGCTTGCAGAGAGAAAAACACACAAAAAAAGGAGCTAAACAGCAAGGCAGTAAGCATAGGCAACGTGAAACGACACGCAGTGAGGCAATATCGAGAGAAAAAAATATAAGAAAAGAAGTAAAGCCCAGAAAGCCAACGCCGCGACGTGCCACCCGCGCGTACAACGACACAGCTCAAGCGCCG